AATTCCGCTAACACGTCATACTAATATTTATTTGATTTTAGAATATATATTTATTCATTGATATAAGAAAAAATAAAAATTTTATTAATTATTGTTCACCATATAATACTCAATTATTATTTTATTATAAAATTTAAAGTCATATAATGTAATTATTAATATTTATAAAAGTTATAGAAGTAGTCTTATTTATGTAATGAAATTCAAAATAAAATTTTGAGTATAAATGTTTACAAAATACACACACATGTTTTTTAGAATTCAATTTTCTCATAATAATTCTTTTTTTCATCCTAAGGCTTTATAGTTTATTTAACATACTATGCAATAGAAAAATATTTTACTAACTCATCTTTGAAACATAACAAAAAAAAAGTGATAAAAATACTATCATAGTTGACAATAATATACAAATAAATAACATGTCGAAATTTTAAAAAATAACTAATATAATTTTATTATCTAACCATCAATAAAATAAATTAATGATGTGATCATTATCTTTTAAATAATAAATAATATTAATTTTTTTAAAAAATATTAGTGTTATATAATTAAATAAAGGTTAAAAAATATTACTCGACAAATATTAATTATAATGAATATCAGTAAAATCATTGTATAAATTATTTAAGGAAAAATCTTTAAGATCATATTTGGATAGTAAATGTAAATATGCAAGCATTTAATGCATATAGTAAAAATTTCCAAATAAAGTATGCATTAAATGTGTGTTGACTTTTCTTGCTACTGTTTTTGGTAAATAGGTTGACTTTTAATATATATATATATATATATAGATGCTATGTTTTTTCCTATTAATATTAATTAATAGTATGTATTTAATTTATTAATTTTATTCTCATTACATATATATAATATATATTGAAACACCTAAAATAATATATGACATATGTAGAAAGTATATAAAATATTCTATATTATTCTTGAAAAATTTGTAAAGTCGCCTGTAATTTTTCTAAACATTTTCTATAGCTTCCATATAAGTATATTTATTTATATATATAAATATAGCTCTTTAATTTAGAGGATATATAAAAAAAATTGTCTATATAAAGAAAGGTGCATAACATAACATGAGAATGTAAAAAATACGTATTTTTAATAATAATATAATATATGGAGGTGCATAGCATAACAGGAGAATCTATAAAGTAAGGCACAAAATATGCGTGTACGTTTTCAAGTGAGGTATTTGAATAATGAATATCCACTTACATTAATACAACAAGCACTCTTGTATTATACAAGTGCTTGTTAAAAAATTATTCTTAAAATTTAAAATTAACGAGAAAAAATATAAAATATTTTATTTATTTTTTACAATATAAATATAATATATATCTTAGAATGACACTTGTTACTTGTGCACTTACATGTGTTATATTATAGTAATGTTTTGAGAAATGATGACTTATTGAAATTCAACTTCGACAAGGGCGACTGAAGCATATAGTAACTTATATCATATAACTACTTGAAATATAAATATATTAATTGATGAATAATTTTATTTTTCTAATTAATTATGAAAAATAATTTTATTATTGTTATAAAATAAATATAATTTATTTTTGTTATACATACAATAATGATGATAAATTGAAGCTCATCAAGAGATGATTAATTGATATATTATATACGTGAAACTGATAAAAAATACAAAAATCATTAACTTTTAAAATTCAATGGTTATAATAAGATCAAATAATATTAATATACAATTAATACATGTAATATAACTATACATAATTAACATATTTATGGATATCTGGAAATTAAAATCTACCCAAGCCTAATAACGAAGCATATAATTTTGTCACATAGGATCCCGAAGCATGCGAGCCTGCCACTTAGGCTCAACATGTTATGAATTAATATATACTACACGTGTATTACACGGGTGCTTGTTAAATTTTTTTTCTTAAGATTTAAAATTAATGAGAAAAAGTAGTTGGAAATTTAAATACTATATATACATATATAAAATATATTTTAATAAGACACTCGTTACTTGTGCGACTTACATGTGTTATATTATAATAATTTTTCTAACTTATAACATATAACTACATTAAACATGAATATATTAATTGAAAAATAATTTATTTTTTAATTAATTTTTATAAATATTTTTTATTATTGTAAAGATAAATATAATTTATTTATTTTACATATACAATATGGATGTCAAATCGAAACTCATCAAAAGATGATTAATTTGATAAATTATATATGTAAAATTGATAAGAAATACAAAAGTTATTAACTTTTAAATATATCTACAATTAAATAGTCATAAGAGGAAATAATATTAAAATACAATTAATACATTTAAAATGATCACATAAATAAATCAACATATTTATAGTAATCTGAACTTAATTAGTTTTGGATTGAAATTAAATTAAAAATTTTATTCAAGCCAAATAAAAAAACATGAAATTTTGACACCTAGAATTCTAAAACATGTTAGCCTACCATTTAGGGGCTCAACACATTCGAGAATTATATAAAGTGGAGGTGGATTAGGATGAATCATAAAACAAATTAGAGATTACCAATTTTGACAAAACCAACAAGTATATCATTGCTTCATGTTTTGACTGTCACGCAGCCCACAGGTCACACCACATGACGCAGATTATAAAATTAATTAAATAAAAACATTACAAAGAAAGCCAAACTATATGTTATTTATTATTTTTCTCTCTGTCATGCCCCTGAATCTCTCTATATTTGCATTTGCCCCCCTCTCCTCTCCTCTCATCTCTCACCTCACCTGTCTGAATCTATACATCGCCTTCCTCCCCTTTCGCTCTCTCTCTCAATTTGTGGCGCTGTTGAACTCTATGGGCCGCCGTGCCGTATAATTTAAGCCACAGCTTCCTCCTCGGACTCACCCGCCGATGATCCTCTCCTCGGTGCGTTCTTCTCCTCCCCCGTACCTGTTACAACTTCTGAAAATTCATCTCCTAGGTATTGTTTTTGTTTGTTATCTTCATTGATCTGTGTTAATTTTTCGTCGTTTTTTATTTCCTTTTTGATTTTTTTTTCTCTCGTCTTTCTTAGTATCATTTTTCCTGAGCGGAGGGTGGGAT